CTGTTTGTACATGTTTTATAGTCCCGTATAGACCCGATATCTCCACGTGGTTTTACCTTTGTTCTATGTTTAATGTATGTTTGTGCGTTCGTTCGTTATCTGTCTGACTAGTCAATAAATTCCATTATAATCAAATGAATTGTATTGTTTGCCTCACGAGAAAATGTCACTGAAATACAGATTCCCCTGCCTAGCTGTTATAAGTTGATTCAAACTTATGAATGATTAATCTGCTTCACAAGAAGTAGCAATTAAATTCCCTTTTTCTAAATGAATAGATCATTGCCGTAGCAGCTCGGAAGAAAGGCGGCTCTAGTAATGTTTGTTTGATCAAGTTAACAATAAATGCGGGCATGATCAAATACAATCATATGTTTGTTTGACAAGATTGACTAAAGCTTAAGCCGGAATATCAATAATTAAGAATAAACCGTTATTGTTGATTATTAATATCCATAAAATGAGCTAATTTCTGTTACACTTGCAACTATACGCACCGCTCTGGAGGACCGAACCCAAAGAAAGGCCAGGCAAGGGAGAAACCCAGCTCGACTGTCTGCCGCTGCGTAGACTCGCTCTGGACCGGGCTCGTTCACTCGACGTCGCTGTAGCAGCAAGAGGAACCCTCATGAACTCGATCAGAAAAAAGCGAAAAGGATTGCGTTTGCTTGCGACAGGTGTGCTTATATGCACTGAAAAAAATTATTTAAAGATGATTCCTTGGATTTACTCAATTTTATTATGTTAAGTGGTTGTAAACAATTTAATTGTGTTGAATTTAAACAAACACATTAAGTTGAACATTATTCAATTTAATTTGATTGTTTAAATTCAACACAAATAAATTGTTTGCAACAGTTCTGCATGCAACACTTTTTTCAGTGTGCTGGGATAATTGGCAATGAGGCACACCTGCGCAAGCTTACGCTGCCAATTCATTGCTTTCATTGGCCCGTTCAATACTCTTTCAGACAAGCGGCTTCTGAACCGAAACCTCCCATATGTGGATTTTCTACATCAAATCCACCTATAGCACTTCCGTTCCCCATCCGAAGGGGAACTTTTGTTTCTAATACGATTAAGGATTGCTTTTCTCTATGCAATGATTGTAAAGCAAATTAAGATTTTGTTGTGGTTGCTCTTTGGTTGAACAGTTTTTATTTTAACTAAGTGGTGAATTCAACACATTTTAAGAAGAAGCAAGTTCTCAGTTCTCTATTTGTATACAGTAGTAAATCCGAAAGCTGCAGTAATTGCAATTTAGACTGCGAAAAACACTAAGATCACTACTGTTTAGTCACTGCTAAAAAAAGTCTGCTCTGTTCACCAAGCCTTCACTTTTGTTTTACCAAGCCTGCAATTCTTCACTGTGAATCAAAACTGAGATGTCACAAAATTCTGTTGAAATCCTTATAATTTGTTGACTTGATGTTCATGAGCATTTCTGATTGTTATCTATGATTAAAACAGTTCAGGATGCTTAATATTCTTGTCTAGGTATTTACTGTTTTTTGATGAATTAAGCACTCAAAAGAAAAATCAAATGCATGCTTGGCGAATAACAGTAATGATTTTATGAAAGAAAAAACAAACAATGAAAAATTATTAGCACGTGGTCTTTCAGTGGTCTGCATTACTGTACTTTATGGGTACACTACTCAGTATAAGTGGTTTGTGCTTTGTACCTCACTTGAAACATCTGTAGCAGTGTTAGAAAATTATTTGACAGATCCCAGAACTTTCAGTTGTGATAACTAATCTCTGGCTAGCTTGGTTCTTCAAATTTGTGACCCAGATATAAATATATGGATGAATCTATCTGAGATTGCTAATTGTGTTCACTGTGAAGAGCAGATCAATTTAAGGCACAAAGTCTAAAGTTCATAGTGCAAGAGCATTAAGGACATGTCCAGTTAATTGTTTTATGTTCAATACTAAACTTATAAATTATCTTAAATCCTTCATGTTGTCCAAACATTCATTAATTGTGTGGAACCGAGCATTTTTCACAATGTATGTTACTGTATAAAATGTGTGTATATACTGATGGTATAAGGTGCCCTCTCCAAGAGAAATCAAAGAGCACCAATTAAAGAAACTCTAAACCTGTTCACATGACAGAGATGAAGAATGGTGTTCATAATGTTAGAGGATGATTCTTTAGGGTCTTAATGGAAAGTCTGTAACTAAATTTCTCAGTAGTAGAAAATATACTTGTTTGTTCTAAAACCAAGAATACCACACTGACAAACACAGCTCTGCACATGATGAGGAAGATCTGATTCTAGACACGAGTGAATAGAAACTAACTAAATGAAACTAACAAAAATTATAAAAAATTTCTGATAATTAATGATAAGAAATTTTTTTTGTACCTAAAAGCTCCATGTTGAGAACCTAAACATACAGTGCATCCGGAAAGTATTCATAGCGCTTCACTTTTCCACATTAGTTTTATGTTACAGCCTTATTCCGAAATGGATTCAATTCATTTTATTCCTCAAAATACTACACACAATACCCCATAATGACCATGTGGAAAAAGATATTTTGAAAGTGTTGCAAATTTATTGAAAATAAATAACCTGAAGAATCACATGTACATAAGTAGTCACAGCTTTTGCTCAAGTCGTTTTGATTATGATGCCACAAGCTTGGCATACCTATCTTTGGGAATTTTTGCCCATTCCTCTTTGCAGTACCTCTCAAGCTCTATCAGATTGGATGGGAAGCGACAGTGTATAGCCATTTTCAGATCTTTATAGAGATGTTCAGTAGGATTTAGTCCTGGGCTCTGGCTGGGCCACTCATGGACATTCACCGAGATGTTGTGAAGCCACTCTATTGATATTTTGGCAGTGTGCTTTGGGTCATTGTCATGCTGGAAGATGAACCGTTGCCCCAGTCTGAGGTCAAGAGCACTTTTCATTCAGGATGTCTCTGTACATTGCAGCATTTATCTTTCCCTCTATCCTGACTAGTCTTCCAGTTCCTGCTGCTTAAAAATATCCCCACAGCAGGATGCTGCAACCACCATGGATGGTATTTGCCTGGTGATGAGCTGTGCCTGTTTTTTTCCAAGCGTAATCCCTGGCATTCACTCCAAAGAGTTCAATTTTAATTTCACCAGACCAGAGAATTTCTTATGGTCTGCAGGTATTCCTTAGTTTCTTATGGTCTGAGAGCCCCTTAGATGCCTTTGGCAAGTTCCAGGCAGTGGGTGGCTTCCATCTGGCCACTCTATCATACAGGCCTGATTGGTGGGTTGCTGCACAGATGGTTGTCCTTCTGTAAGGTTCTCCTCTCTCTACAGAAGAATGCCAGAGCTCAGACAGAATGACTATCGGGTTATTGATCACCTCCTTAACTAATGGCCCACTCACAATATGCTATCCGTATTGTGCCCAGGCTCGTTTCCCGGATTGTTTGAGAAGTGTGAGTGCGCTGAATCAGGCTCAGGCACAGTTCACTTAAATGGCCCTGGCCCAACAAGCCAGAATAAAAAAAACTACCGGCAGCCTGGCGTAGTTTATTAAATACGCAAACCACTCACTGCATGAGAGCTGCGCATCTTCAGCAAACCTCCTAATTCCTGCAGCACGAGGGCTTTATGATTGTTTATGAGCGGCAAAAGTGGCTGATCTGTTCGGCGAAATATCTGACTGCATGTCACTGCATCCCTAAGGACTAAATCGATATAACTAGAGAAATCTCCACTGTGCTAAGCGAGAGCGCTTACTGAACAGCACTGCATCTATGACGTAAGCGTGCCCAGGCCCGATTGTAATGTGAGTGCGGGCTGTCGGGAGAGACGGGAGAGGGGACAAGCGTGCTCTGGCCCGGTTCAAGGCAACTGTACATAGTTTGAGTACACCCTAAGACCCTTCTTCCCCGATCACTCAGTTGGGATAGCCAGACAGCTCTGGTGGTTCCAAACATTTTTTTAGTTACGGATGATAGAAGCCACTGTGCTCATTAAAACTTTCAAAGCAGCAGAATTTTTTTTGTAACCTTCCCCAGCCTTGTGCCTTGAGACAATCCTGTCTGAGAGGTTTACAGACAATTCATTTGTCTTCATGCTTGGTTTTGGCTTTGACATGCACTGTCAACCCTGGGACCTTTTATAGACAGGTGTATGCCTTTTCAAATTATGTCCAATCAACTGAATTACCACAAGTGAACTCCTATTAAGCTGCTGAAATATCTCAAGAATGATCAGTGGAAACAGAATGTACCGGAGCTCAATTTAGATCTTTACGGCAAGGGCTGTAAATACTAATGTACATGTGATTTTTCAGGATTTTTATTTTTAATAAATTTGCAACAATTTCAAAAAATCTTTTTTTCACATTGTCATTATATGGGGTATTGTGTGTAGGATTTTGAGGAAATAATGGAAAATAATTCATTTTGGAATAAGGCTGTAACAAAAAAAGTGGACAAATTGAAGCGCCATGAATACTTTCCGGATGCACTGTATATAAGTATCCCTAAAGGTATACTTTTTGAAAATGTACTACACTATTGGCAGTTTTTGCATTTCCATTTCTGAAGTTTTAAAAAAATATATAAATTAGGTTTTTATTCTATTTGTTTTTCCTACTATGGAAGTCAATGGTTAAGGGTTTTTAGCTTTCTTCAAAATAACTTTTGTGTTCATTATATGAAAGAAAGTCAAAAAGGTTTGAAACCACATTTTTTGCCAATACAGATCAATACAGTTCAATTCAATAAAATACCCATGTAAGAAAATTAAAATCCTGTTTATATATTAATTATAATTCCTTTTATTTATATAGCTCTTTTCAGCTTACTTAATGAGATGATATAGGAAATGAGCTGCTCTCAAGCTTATGCTCTAGTTGCTATAACAACAACTCCAGGATGAGCTTCAAAGAATCAAGCAATCCTGGTCAAATTGTCAACAGTTAAATGCACTTTTTTTTTCATGTGGGCACACACAAAGAATTGAAATGTCTGTTTGTTGGGTCTCTCCGCAGCAGCGCCCTCATCAGGAACCTGGAAAGCGGATACCGTCATGGAGTGGTCGACCAATCTGGATGGAGAAGATGGTGCTGGGGAGGGTGAAGGTCCCACACACCTTTGTCATTCACACCTACACTCGTCCCACCATCTGCCAGTATTGCAAACGCCTCCTCAAAGGCCTTTTCCGGCAGGGCATGCAGTGCAAAGGTTTGTTTCACCACTTCTGTCTCTCTCTCCAATAAAGACAGTAATGTATTGTAAATGATTATGCATTTTCTTCACCAGACTGTAAATTCAATTGTCACAAGCGATGTGCTTCAAAGGTACCAAAAGACTGTCTTGGAGTCTTCAATGGAGGTATGGTTTTAGGTTTAGCAATCAGCTAAATGGTAAAAATGCACTGCTAAAAACATTATTAAAGTGTGCACTGTGTAATTTCAGAGCCGGCCAGTCCCGGTCCAGACTCTGACAGCACTATGGAGGTGGACAGCAGTGATGTGAACAGTGATAGTGGCCGAGGACTAGATGATTCAGAGGAACCCACAACTCCCGAGGACAAGATCTTCTTCATGGACTCTCCCTTCATGGACAGAGAGAAAGACGAAGAACCTGTGAAGACCATCAGGTACAGAATAAATAACTGTTTTAGTTAAAGCATAGAGTTTTAGATCAGAGTTTAAATCACAGTTTGCCCTGCAATCTAAAATACATTTTTAAATTAAATACAGTTTCAAACTTTTAGGGCCAGACTTTTTCCTTTTAATGTAACACAAACAAATTGATTTTCAAGCCTTTTTTACAAAGCTAGTTAAAAAAAATAAATCACAGGGTTAAAATTTTTGTGTTAGCTTCAATGAGATCAATGCTTTAATTGTACTATAGCTTGATGGTTCAGTTTTTTTTCTGATCAACACTGGTATTTCTTTTGTCTCTCTTAAGTCCCTCCACAAGCACCAACATCCCACTGATGCGTGTGGTTCAGTCAGTCAAGCACACCAAACGCAGGAGCTCTACTGTGGTCAAAGAAGGCTGGATGGTGCACTACACTAGCAAAGACAATCTGGTCAGAGTTACTCCAAAGCCACATGCAGAACTGTTGTTTATCAATATGATTTATGAGAACAATACATCTTCTTAAGAGATAACTGTAATATAGTAATGAAGAGAGATTGAACTGATGTTTATTATTTGTAGGGAGGCACAAAATTTTCATCATAGACCATTTCAAAGTGGTCATGTTATTGGCCCATGATCATTTCCTGCTTGTTATCAACTATTTCATAACTGCAACAAGAAGCAATTTAATCATAACTTAATGTTAAAACAGCTATCATAACATTAATTGGTCACTTTATTTTGATGGTCCATTTGTTGAATTGAAGTTACTTTGCATCTACATGCCTACCAAAAGTAGACTGTTAGGTTGAAGTTAGCTTTGGGGTTAGGGTCAAGGTTCGTGTAAGTTGGCTAACTAGCAAAGTTTCTTACAGTCAGTTAAATGTCCATTGAAGGAGCAGTATCAGGAGATATTAAGCAGACAGTCTACTAATACTCATACCAATACTAATATTTATTAATATGTGGCTCTTTTTTAGGACTCTCTTGAGCTATAGAATATAAAAATGTAAAACAGGATATACGTTGGGACAATTGTTTTTCTTTACATCCCTCGAAATGGTCTATTCAAATTTTCTATTATCTATATTAATTTGGATACCTGGGCTCAGGTTTTCAGCCAATACAGAGTACCGATTCAACACCTGGGTGTGTGTTTTTAAAAACAGCTGCTAGCCTTGTATAAATTAATCTAATTATTTTATGGTGAGCTACATATACATGAGCTATATTCAGTGAACTAGAGTATTTCATTATCAGACATACATTTTTAATATTATTTACTGATCTACACTGAAAAAGAACTTGAAATTAAAGCTAACACTGTAAAATGAAAACAACAAAATAAGGCATTTAGTTTTTTTTTTTTTTTTTTAATATAAAGAAAAAACAGCAACTTATACTCAACCTATACTACAATGCTGGCGATAAATCTGATTGTCTGCACATCTTTTAGTTTACATGAAATGGGCACTTTACATAGCCAACCATGAAAACCATTCACTGTCAGTGAAATTTTACTGTCTATAAAATGTAGTTATTTGCTTGTTTTTTTATTGGTGTAGTTTAAGTTATTGAATTAAATAGAAAAAGTCTTACAAAATTGCATTATATAATTTCATAAAATTATAAATGATCATTACAAAGCATTCTCAGTTTTGCCTGTTTAGGTTGTAAATATGTACTACTATGTATATGAATATGTACTACTGTTCCAAATAATTGCAGTGACTTATGAAGATATCGTTACCTTGGTATAAGGTTCTATCTGCGTTCTTAATGATTTTGAGATGTTGGGCTGCATAGTTTTTGCATTCCATATAGTAAACAGTATGTGTGTAACATTTGTTTTTTAAATAAAAAGTCTTAAAATTTGAACAACTTCTAAAAAAAATCCTACAATGTAAATAAGTTGTCAATTAATAAGAAAAGGTCAAAAACTCAATTTTGAAAAAAATGTCAGATAGAACCTTTCAATTTTAAGGTGACTATATGTCATCTGATGTTAAGCAGAAATGGTGCATAGTATAGCATTTTATATCAAGTGCTATTTAATGGACAGATTTTTTTCAACACATTTTAAATATACATTTCTTTAAACAACCATTTAAAAAAATGTCTGATGGTAAATTACACTAAACGCTTACTATTTTAGGTCTGTTAGGATTACTAAATGATTTACATTTGCTAAATGCCAGAATAATGAGAGAATTTTTATTTTTAGATTTTTTTATTCATTTGTAGACCGTTTACATACATTTCCTTGGTATTTTTTAGCTTTGTTTTTACACTGTATAACTTTGGTCAAATGTTTTGGGTATCCTTCGACAAGCTTCTCAGAATAGTTTAAAGGAATTTTGACCCATTCCTCCTGACAGAATTGGTGTATAACTGTGTCAGATTTGTTGGCTGTCTTGCTCGCACAAGCTTTTTCAACTCTTTTTTTTTAACTTTTCTTTTTTTTTTTCAACAATTTTTTATAGGATTAAGATCAGGGCTTTGTGATGGCCACTCCAAAACAGCCACTCTGTTGTCCTTAAAGCACATTTTAACTAATATGGCAGTATGCTTAGGTTCATGGTCTGTTTGGAATACCCCATTTGTGGCCATGTTTTAATTTCCTGGCTGATGTCTTAATGTTGCTTCAGTATTTCTACATAATGTTCTTTCTTCGTGATGCCATCTATGTTGTGAAGTGGACCAGTCCCTCCTGCTGCAAAACAGCCCCACAACATGATGCTGCCGCCCCCATACTTCACAGTTGGGATGGTGTTCCTAGGCTTTTAAGCTTTCCCCTTTGTCCCCAAACGTAACACTGGTCATTATTTCCAAACAGTTCAATTTTTAGTTCCATCAGACCACAGGACCTGTCTCAAACAATGATTCTTTTTCCCAGTGTAATTTAGCAAATTGTAATCTGGCTTTTTTTTTTTATTCTGGCTTGTTGATTTTCCCATGTTAACACACAAGGAAGCAGTGTGTTTGAGGTTTTCTTGAAATACTATTCTACAGTTATGCCTCCAATCAGAAACTTCCAAAACCTTGATATCATCACCTGAGCTTTTTCAGAGGCATAATAATCTTATTGTATGTAAACTTGAATTTCAAGTTATAACAATTTCTCAGAAAAAATATCTCTCTCGTTATTCTGCTATTAAGCAAAATAGAAATTAATTAGATAATCCTAACTTACCTAAAAGAGAAATAGTTTAGTCACATTACCATCTGACTTTTTTAATGGTCATGTGCCTTTTATACAGTGTATTTCAGAATTATTAGCTCACCTTTGATTAATATTCATTATAATTTTAAAATTAAACTTTCTCCAGAAGAAAAAAAATTAGGAAATACTGTGAAAAAATCATTGCTCTGTTAAACATCATTTGGGAAGTATTTGAAAAAATTAAAATAAAAACCACAGGAAGGCTTATATTTTTTACTTCAACTGTTTATATGATTATAATTTAAAATATATAAATTATTATTATAAATTTATATATTTATAATATGGCCTCTACATTGTATCACTTTCAACCTATACAAGTTTACCTTTTCTGTAGGTATGCATTAAAATCTGCTAATGTACATAATGGTTTCAGCGTTGTCTTGGGTGTCTTGACAGTGTTGGATTAATTATGCAGTCCATATCAAGTCTATGTCATGACTGAATGTTTAAATGTGTTTTGTCTTCAGAGAAAGAGACACTACTGGAGACTGGATAGCAAGTGTCTGACTCTGTTTCAGAACGACTCAGGAGCCAAATATTACAAAGTAAGAGATCTACTCACATTGAACTAAAACACTTTAGTGACATCAAATGAAGTGTATTAAAGTGCAACTGTGATGCTGTGTTGGCTGAAAAATGTGACATTCATGTGTAATGTTGTTTAGAGTAACCTTTAGAATGACATAGGTAATTATAATATTGCTCATGTGTTACTACTGAAAACGATAATCTGCTGTCCATCTTTGACCTTTTAATGTCAAAACATTATAATTAATATGGGGTATTGCAGACAAAGTTTTTCCCTTTTATAAACAGCAGTGAGTGTTTGTGGTACAATAAGTACCACAGAAATACCCATCTTCCTCTGCTTCACTTGAGATACAGGAAGATACAGTGAGATACAGGAAGCAATGTTTTTTTAAACATAAACTAAAAGTAAGACTAAAACAATAAAATAAAAATTAAATGAAAAACTAGCAACAGTCACTGAAATAAAATAAAAAAAATAATCATTTTCACATTTAAAAAGCACTGTAATGGAAAATCTCAGCTTCATCTGTTTATGGAAGTACCAGTAGATGGCACTTTTACACACATCTGTCATATGTCAAGCATAATGCAATACATAAACATATTTTCTAAAAGGGGTGGTCCAGAGTTTATTTTTAAGGCTTGGTTGTGTTTATGGGGTGCAAAGCAATGTGTGCTCATGCTTCATTTGTAAAAAAACATTTAAAAAGCACACTATTTTTTTCATATATCTTACTTTATTTAAATACTGCTTATCCGCTAACACGAAAACCTCCACCGAAAGCTTGCCCTGTGATTCGTAGATTGGCTCCACGTCATGAGAAAGTGGCATGCCTCAACTTACACAAGCTTTGCAGTTGTGTAAATACTGCCAGTCAGTGTAGCTGTATCAGTTTGAGCCTGAATCAGCTAGAAAATGAAGAGGACACAGCTGAATCTCATGCCTGCCCCTAAAATAAAATCTGACAAGTGCCTTTCATATATATTCAGAATAAGCATGTTTAAGTAATATGAAACGTTCACATATCTTTTGTGGAGAGCATGGAAAGCGGCAGTATAGAGAGACAATGAAGACGCTTGTGAAGATTGTGGTTGTTTACATGGGTTTGACAAATACATATAAATATGTAGCTAAATTGTTAACTGTGCCAAACAGCATTTCTCATTGTTTGCATCCTTGTATACATCCTTTCTGCAACATACTGTTAATGCTAGAAACTATGGATGTTACTTTAACAAATAAAATACTTACAGGTTGTGGTTCACAATCCACATCTTCTTCTATTATGGTTGGAGCTGCTCTTTCTTTAAAGAGTTTTTAGCTGAATCCAGCACTAAACTTAGTTTGGATGGTATTTTAGCTTTCTCTGCTATAACATTACAGCGCCTCCTGCCACGCCCCTTCGATGCACGGGATGTATGCATGAAACCTAAAGAGTTAATGACTCCATTAACCTGAATGTATTTTTCTGTAGTCAAACTTTGTTCGCTGTTGGCTTTGCTAAGCTAATTCTGCAAAAGCCAATGTCTCCTTTTGCAGTGACATTCAAATATTTTGTTTGTGTTTACACATCTACATTACATGAACTAAAGTTTAAAAAAATTATATCTTAGTGGACCACCTCTTTAATCAACATAAATCCACATCTGTCTGTTCTTCATTTGTATTGCATTTTATAAGGTTTTGGGTTCAGTGTTTGTTCAAGCTATTAATAAGACGTTTGCACAATAGTCCATGTAAGCTGTGCAAACATTAAAGGTAACCTTGCTTGAAACTGGATGTGTTCTATTAACTCTGCTAAACTATAGTTGCTAAAACTAAAACTAGGGGCGCAGTAGATAGTGCTGTCGCCTCACAGCAAGAAGGTCACTGGTTCAAGTCTCGGCTGGGTCAGTTTCTGTCTGGAGTTTGCATGTTCCCCCCGAGATCGCGTGAGTTTCGTCTGGATGCTCCAGTTTCCCCCACAGTCCAAAGATGTGCGGTACAGGTGAATTGGGTAAGCTAAATTGTCTGTAATGTGTGTGTGTGAATGAGAGTGAATGAGTGTTTCCCAGTGATGGGTTGCGGCTGGAAGGGCATCCGCTGCGTAAATCATGTACTGGATAAGTTGGTGGTTCATTCCATTGTGGCAATCCTAGATTAATAAAGGGACTAAGCTGAAAAGAAAACGAATAAATGACTGAAAACTGAAACTAAATATACATACTAAATAGAAATGCATGCACTAAATAAAAAAGCTAAACTGAAACTAGCAAAGCCATTGATGTAATGAACTAAATTTAAACTGAATTGGACAGCAAATTTAAAATTAGTATCAAAATAAAACAAATTAGGTTAAAATGTATAACTATAATAATCTTGTCAGGAAGTGCTTCGGTGTCACTTTGTAGTGTGATGATCTAGTTTTAGTACTGTTATAAATAAAACAAGAATAATAACTTATTGGTTAAACTTAATTTTTTAATATGCATTTTTAATTTAACTTTTCATTGGTTAACTTGTTACATTGTAACTATCAATTTAACTATGCAGTATACAAATAATTACATACTTACTAAATGGTTAGGGTTAGAACAAGTTAGGTTTAGGGTTCGTTAAATTTTAAATCTCAATGCAGGGTTCATACGGTCATGGAAAACCTGGAAAAGCCATGGAGTTTTGACATGACATTTTTCAGGCCTTGAAAAGTTTTGTAAAAACAGAAAAACCCACAAAGTTTTGAAAAAGTCAAGGAAATTAGTTAAACAAATATTTGTATACTTGAATTAGGGCTGCATGCTATTGGAAAAATCTGACATTACCATATTTTGTATTTCTGTGATATATATGGTGATATGAATACAATTTCACCAGATTATTTAACAGGTTACGATATCGATGCTGAAACGATATATTATGCAACCCTAACTTGAATAAAGGTTAGTTGTACTTATTTTCTGTCCTTGGCCAAAAACTTGCTCTGACATTGTTAGTGCTGTGTAAGCATTATCAAAATGTATTTTACATAGATATAAAAAGAAATTTAAACAAAATAGATTGTTGCTTGTTCTATGATATGCTCTAATAAATTTGAGCGTCATTGTTTTTTTTTTTTTTTTTTTTTTTACCATGTATATGTAGACATTAGCTGAAACATTACGTCAAGAAAATGTACTTGAAAGTTCTGGAAAAGTCATGGAATCTTAAGAGTAAAAATGTGTATGAACCCTTTCAATATATACTTTACAAAAAATACATACAATTGGTTTCCTTGCTAAAAATCTATTTAAAGGAGTAGGTCACCCAAAACGAAAAATATAATCATCATTTTCACCGACAGGTTGTTCTGAAGCTTAAGGAGTTTCTTTGTTTTTGAGTAATCTTGGTAACCTGTAGATAAACAGAAAACCATCTATTGAAATTGATGTGTATCAATATATCTTCTTTTGTGTTCAGCAGTATTAGTATTAAGCTGTTTGGCTGTATTATGATCAAACAGTTTTGGCACTGTGTGATTGGTCTTGAATGTTCCTGTTTTTGTGAATATTCCTGGAGCAGCTCCTCTGTATTCCCTGCTGTAAAGTCCAAGTCAGTGCCTTGGTGAGACCTTAAGGTGTATTTAAGACTTTTTTACACACCACTTTATCATCAGCTTGGATTTTAACTCTAAAACTCGTCTTACTTGGATATTAAGACATGAATGCAAATTCCTGACAAGTTTATTTGGTTTTGTTAGATTTAGCATCACTTAACACCATACTATAAAATGACTAAAGCGATTTGGTAACAAAGTTTTAATTGTTCTAATTTTTCCTAAACTATATCAATAGTTAGACGGCACACTTAGCACAACGAGGCAGTTTTATGATTTCCTCATGCTTTACATTTAAAGTATAGGGTGAGACATGAACCCGCATTTGATTTTCATCTATAGCATTTGAAAATCATAGCATCCTCTTTGAAGACTGCAGCCCTCTACTTTTGGTTTTTGGGTAGGGGGCTTTCAGTCCTTTTTTCAAGATAACCACAGCCCACCCTCCTATATAATGTATCGGTGGTTAGAGAAAGACTTGCCTACACACTCATACTCTAACACACTGCTGCTGCGCTGCTGCCCTGTAATCATGTAGCTCTTCATAGAGCTGAGTCACATGATTCAGCCAGCAAACCACAAGTACTTCATCTTGTATTCAGAGACCACAGGCACAGCATTTGCTCTGATTGGCCACAGCTACTGTTTTCCTAAAAGCAAGTTAAGGGGCAGAGCTGAAGGTGGCCCCTTAAGAGACTTCACAATCACACTTGGTGCATCGTTTTTCGCATTGTCAATGGGGATCAAGGCCAGACTGTAGCCTTCAGCTGCGTTTGGAGACTGAACAAAGACAAAGCTCATTCTGTTTACATGTGATGAAGAAAACTTGAAATTGTCAGTTTGAACCTGGAGGAAACACGTGGACTTGGAAAGTACTTGGAATAATGAATTTTTAGAGACAGCCAAAATCAGACTGAGCACATTAGGATTTTGGTCCTTAGTGAAGACTTTAAGAAAATTGTTTGAACCTTGGATTGACCGGTGTTTTCTTCACACCAGCAGAATCTTGGTCACAATTTGGATTTGATGAACTTTGTAAATTTCAGCTGGAAGGTTTCCTTGTATGTAACACTCATTTCAGACAAATGTGAGGTGGATTAGTGGTCTAAACTTTGTTATCGGAGCATCTGTGAGTCAGCGCCTGAACTTGTGACTCATTTTCTGACCTACAGGAGATTCCCCTGTCAGAGATCCTGCAAGTGGAGGTCGCACGGGACTTTGGTAGTTTAGCCTTGGGCGGCAACCCACACTGCTTTGAGATCATCACTGCCACTATGGTGTACTACGTGGGGGAAAACACTGGCGGGCCCCACCTGCACATCCACAGCCCTGCTCTTGCTACTGGAGGAGTGGGGCTGGAGGTGGCTCAGAGCTGGGAGAGGGCTATTCGCCAGGCCCTGATGCCTGTTCCTGTCACACCACAGCCCAGTGTGGGCACTGCTGCAGGCCAGAGCAAAGATCACAGTGAGTACTGAAAATGGCTCTTTCTGCCATTAAACAGAAAAAAAAATTGATATTTAACTTAATACAGTTTTAGTGGCTCAAAATTTATACTACAGTGAAAAATTTGAGTAAGAATTACTTTGAAACAGTATTCACTCAGTAATCTGTTGCTGAAAGTGAAGAGAAACAGCAAGTCACACAATTTAAGATGACTGATAATGTATTTTCTTGTAAAATGTCCTTCAATATACTTTATAATATGAAAGTTTATTTACACCTTTTAAATATAAAAAATGATAAAATATTTAAAAGATTAATAATATGATAAATAAAAGGAATTACTTTTCATTTTGTTGTAAATATCAAAAATAATTACAAACGGATATATATAGTATATTGTTAAAGTCAGAATTTTTAGCCATCTTAAATTATTAGCCCCCTGTATATTTTTCCCCCTAATAACAGAAATACGTTTTAAAAACACATTTCTAAGCATAATAGATTTAATAATTAATGTCTATTAACTGTTTTATTATCTTTTCCATAATTACAGTACTTAATATTACATTTAAAGGTATATCTGGGTTAATAGGGATAATAGGGAGGGCTAAAAGTTTTGACTTTATCTGTATGTGGATGGATGGATGGATGGAGATAGATAGATAGATAGATAGATAGATAGATAGATAGATAGATAGATAGATAGATAGATAGATAGATAGATAGATAGATAGATGGATGGATGGATGGATGGATGGATGGATGGATGGATGGATGGATGGATGGATGGAGATCGATGGACGGACGGACGGACGGACAGATGGACAGATAGAGAGACAGACAGACAGACAGACAGACAGACAGATCTATCAGATGGTATTTTGAAATGGTATTTTGCAATAATCGTCATTTTTGGTTATGTACATCTAGCATTTTTTCATCTAGCATGTACATCTAGACATGATTGTTGTTTGACGATGAAGTTATTAATCATAAAACACTCAAAAGAGAGATGCGATAATAATAGATAATAAGAAACGAAAAAGTTTAAAGCATATTAAAAAATAGAGCTGGAGAAAAAATAAAAAAATTAAAAAATGCACCATTAATAATGTTTGAATGGTGCATTTTAGGCAGATTTGCAGTTGTGGAGAGTAAACAGCAGAGCTTTATTTTTTAATATCCTGATGCACCTCTATTTAATTGTGTTGAGAGACAAAAGATTAAAAAGGTTTGACAGGTCTGGATTAATGAAAGCTGTTTAGTTACGAAGCAAACACACTTTTGATTCAGTATTCAGAGGAGATTTCAGCCCACCGAAGAGTGACATGCTTAATTAAGGTTTGGCCTGTAGAGCAGAGTAACCAGGCCAAATCCAGCCTGAAAAATAAACAGAAAACACATTAGAGAATTACTGTTCAGCTCAGCCGTGTTGTTCTTTGAGAAATTTACATTTTATTAAATTTTTCAGATATTCTTTGTTTATATTATTCACACAGTCAAAAAGGAAATTAGGGTTGAGTGATTACAAAGTTAAATGACAAAGCTTGTGACAAGTTACAATTTGTTTTGTGTCTTGGATGTGATACAAATTACAAATTTATCAATTTTTCTGTGACATGTTTTTCAAATACAAATTTACATTATCTCTATGTATTAACAAAAGTAATCCAAAGATCATCACACTATTTTTGTGTTTGCGTGTGTATTTCAGAGGAACTGTCCATCAGCATTTCTGTATCAAACAGTCAAATCCAGGAAAATGTGGTGAGTGTTTAACTGTGTTACAATATTTCACAACTAAACACTCTCATTATTCACACTTCTGCATGTTCGGTCATGTTCATGGTCAAGTCACGCCGCAAGATAACTATGAAGAACTAAGAGAGGAAATACAACGTTTGTGGGTGTTAATAATCATGAATTTAACTGTATACAGAGAAACAGAGAAATTTGAGTTGAATGTACTGAAAATATTCAGTATTTATTATTCAAGGTTAGTCTCTCAGATCATTTTTAAGGAGTTTTAAAGTTTTTTTTTTTTTTTTTTTTTTTACAGCGCTCACCACAGCATTTCAATCAAGGTTAGGGTCTGAAATATGACTTGACTTTTAAACACCTTGATTTTCAGAAATACTGTTTTAGATTTACTGCTTTGTTTGGGACCATTGTTTTATTGCTTAACCCAGTTTTGTTACCTGAAGCCTCTAGTGCAGGGGTAGGCAAACTCGGTCCTGGAGGGCTGGAGTCCTGCACAGTTTAGCTCCAACACTAATCTAACACACCTGAACATGCTAATCAGTGTCTTCAAGAGCACTAGAAATCTATAAGCAGGTGTGTTTGATTAGAGTTGGAGCTAAACTGTGCAGGACACCGGCCCTCAAGGGCGGGGTTGACCACCTCTGCTCTAGTGGACATATTATAGAAAGTTTCTTATCTTAGGCATTAATTTAAGATATAATGTGTTAAATCAGGATTCTTTTTTTCACAGGTTCGTAATATATATTACCAAGTATATATTACCAAGTCTAAACTTGGTTTTGGATTCTTATCGTATCTTTACTGTAGTTACAAAATGTAAAATTTTGTCATCCAGTTTCAAAATTCACTTTCAGTTTTGTTACCAAACAGCCAACACTGCACATGCAGCTAATGAGTAACCTAAATAAATTGGATAAAACCATCAGGAAAAAGTAAAACACACAACAAAAAAAAAGTCATTGCGCCCTCTCACTATAGCCAATAATGCTCTGTGATACTTTGTTGGACTCCGTAATGCTGGTAACAGTTTCTGTGTTAATTGTAATACTATGTTGCACAGAAGTCTATAATTATAAGTGTTTTATCATGGAAAGGTCACACATACAGTATTCAGGGTCCATCCAAGAGACTTAATGTTTTTACTTTTCAATATATTTCAAATAATTTTAAAGTTAGGACAGCTATTGGGTTGCTCTAAAGTTCAGTTGTTTTTATGTATTTTTTTGTCAAGTTAGAATGTTTCTGTAATGTCACCTTCCTATCTGTAGTTAAGATGAATAGCTTTTTACCAAGCTTACCAAACAGATATGATAAATTGTAATAGTTCTGTAATACACCACCAGACCAACAAAGTGCTCACAATTCTGCTGATGTTCAATTTAGAAATTTGATTTGATTAACATACTTAAGTTCATACTATATGTAGTTGTTAATCTTTATTTTTCAAATTGTAAGACCTAACAAAAATCAGATAATTTGTTATGTTCTTATAAAGGAAAAAATAACAATTTCATTGGTATCATTAGCCTTGCATATGTGATACGTATGTGATATGAATAGTTACTTAGTGGCTGAGTAAATCTTCTGCCATGCCTTCTTCTGTGTTTAGGATATCAGCTCAATCTATCAGATCTTTGCTGATGAAGTGTTGGGCTCTGGACAGTTCGGCATCGTTTACGGAGGTACATTCTTACAATTGTTCATTTACTTGATAAAATCTCTGAAAATCACATAAACATACATACTAAAATTCTTAAAATATGTACTATTAACCTTGTCTAAAATGTGCATCTATGTCTCTCGTGAGAAATTATATTTAATTGACAGATTCAATTTTTAGATGTAAAAATGTAATTACAAACTTTAAGTTATTTTGTTTCTCTATAAGATTGTTATTTTTTTATATATATATATTTTTTTTTATTTTAGATAACCTACAAATAAATTTTTTTAACTGGCTTAAATTGATTCATATCCATTTTTTACAATGGATTATTGATCAGTTTGATTCCTTATATATATTTACAACCCCAAATCAAAAAAGGTTGGGAAGGTATGGAAAACACAAATACAAAAAGAAAGTAGTGATTTCTAAATTTATTTTGACTTGTGTTTCATTGCAGGCAATACACCAAACATTATTTAATGTGTTCCTCATGATTTTTGTTGTTGTTGTTGTTGTTTTTTTTTTGTTTTTGTTTTTTCAAAATAAACACATTCCAATTGTGGTTCTTGCAACACATTAAAAAAAATTTTGAAACAGTATAGCATCTACCACTTTGTAATGTTGCCATTCCTTTTCACAACACTTAAAGACGTTGAGGGACTAAAAGCACTAAGTGATGAAGTATTTAAGGTGTAATTTTGACCCATCCTTTCTGCAAAATTCTTAAGGTGGGCAACAGTACTGTGTCTTCATGGTCACATTTTGCGATTCGAAATGTGCTACACATTCTCTATTGGGGACATGTTGAGACTGCAGGCAGGCCAGTATCCTCTTTCTCAACAGCCAGGACTTTAAGGGTACTGACATAACTTAATGCAGGCTCTGGCATTTGGACTTGTTCCTGGTAAAAATCTGGATGATCCTTTTCTTCTTTGGTCTGGAGCACAGTGTCCATTTCTCCCCAAAAATACCTGAAATACTCATTTATCTGACCACAGTACTACTAGTAGACATCATTAACATAGTTTTTTTTTTTTTTTAACAGTTTTAACTGCCATTTGTGGATGTAACTATGCATTGTGGGCCATAGTAATCCTGAGCCCATGAATTGATAACACTTAAAATTAAATGAGGATTATTGACGCAGAGCTGCCTGAGGGATCAGAGATCACGGTTGTTCAACTTAGGCCTGCACTGTTGTGCAACTGATGCACTTAAATTCATCCAAATTCCTTAAATCTTTAAATTATCCAAATGTCCTCCAATCTTTTTTGGGGAACATTGTTTTTAAGCATCTTAATAATTTTTTCACATATTTGTTTGCAAACTGGCAATAATCCATCCATCTTTGCTCCTAAGGGACTAGACCTATCTTGGATGATTCTTTTGTACCAACTCATAATTAAAATCACCTGTTGACAACACCTGTTTCAAATCACATCATTTTTTAACCAATTTACCTAAGTTGCTGCTGTCCTAACTATTTTTAAAATGCGTTGCATGTCTGAAAGTATATTTGCACATTTACAAATGAAATGTTGAACCGACAAAACATAACAGATTTTGTGTTCATATTGTCTGCAATTTGCAGGGTTTATATGCTCACTACAAAGTATATACTATACACACCAAAAACATTTTGATAAATTCAATACATCTATTCTATTTTTCACTTGCAACCTAATGTTTTTTTATAGGTGTTATTTCATTTAAAATGTGTGCATTTTGTTATGTCTGTTTTCAAGGGAAACACAGAAAAACAGGAAGAGATGTGGCCATCAAGGTCATAGATAAAATGAGGTTTCCCACCAAACAAGAGAGCCAGCTGAGAAATGAGGTGGCCATTTTACAGGTAATCATCTTTTTTGATGATTATGGAAATGCCATTCTTAATCTTTAGGTTCAAACTGCTGTTGTCATGTAATGTGCATATTGTTCTTTTTTTTGTAGAATTTGCACCATCCTGGGATAGTAAACCTGGAATGTATGTTCGAGACCCCAGAGCGAGTGTTTGTTGTGATGGAGAAACTTCATGGCGACATGCTGGAGATGATCTTGTCCAGCGAGAAGAGCAAACTTCCAGAGCGCATCACCAAGTTTCTGGTCACACAGGTTTGTGCACGTATTTCTCTTCAGATTAGTTTTCTTCTGGTTTATCTGTAGCACAGAGACAAGGCTATGATCTGGATCTCATCTAGAGATGAATCAGAGTGCTGGTTAGAGCTGTGGGGCCCCTGAGGGCCACAGGAGCTCATCCATTAGCCATGGTCTAAAGCCACAGAGCTGCTGTGATGTGGCTCGTATGCTTCTGTCTGTGGTTTCAGAGGCTGCCGTTTCAATGAAAATAAATAGCAAAAACATTGAATAGCTTTGATTTTACCCTGTAGCTTAATGTCAGTGCTATTTGCTTAACATTAAAAGGCTCAACAGTTTTAAGCCATGTGCTTTTTTAAAGTTGTCTATTTTGCACAGTAAAATGTTACTAATAAAAAAAACAATAAAAAGTATTGGTGCACCATTCATTTTTTTCAAACACCCTGCTAACCTACTATAAATCCACACATAAAATGAATTTACAGATCCAAAATTATATTGCATTAAGCCCATGTTCATTAATTATAGATGTTTTACTCATTAAGCTTTAGTCTCATTAAGAATTATAAAGCCAGGTGATTGCCTGAGTAAGCTGTAATAAAAACTTAAATATGATCCTTAAGGTATATTAGTTTTAATCATCAAATTATTAAGTATAGATATTGAGAGAGACTATTGCCACTACCCATGTTATTGGATTTGCTACATGAGACAGAAACAGTAAAGGCAGTGACAGCTGCTGTATAATCGTTTAAATGAACTGCCACACTTTATAGTTTGTGTGTTTATGTCCAAAAAACATTTACATGTTAAAAGCAGGGTGCGAGAGGAAAAAAACAGTCTTTACTACATTACAAACTTAATGAAAATGCAAAGTTAAAGAGCGGTAGAGGGAGTAATGATCTTTCTTCTGCGCAAGTCTTTCTATCTTCTTATAAATCAAGAAAATGTTTTTTTTTTTTTTTTTAAATCACCACAAACAAAAGAACTGATCTAGCGGGAGCTGAATAGGGTGATTAAGAATGTAGCAGTAGAGGTGACTCAACTATGGCTTAATGTCATTATTCCCACAAGAGCACTGCTCACTGATGTATTAATTAATAACATAAATTTCCTTTTTTGCAAACTAACACTTTAAAGCTTCATCATCTGGTTGATGCCTGCATGGATAATAATTATTCTAATAATAATAATAATAATTAATATATTAATAATATTTCTCTTCTTCACTGTCTTAGATCCTTGTGGCTTTGAGACATCTTCATTTCAAGAATATTGTTCACTGTGACCTGAAGCCAGAAAATGTGCTGTTGGCATCTGCTGAGCCTTTTCCTCAGGTAAACAAAAGTCATATATATTAACATATAATAACACCAAGTTACCAAATTGGGATGAATAAACCCCTTTACAAGAGAATTTGTTTTAATGCAACATTTACAGAAATAAATTCAGTTTTGCATGAAGATCTAAGTATTGAATATATATACATACATACATACATATATATATATATATATTTTTTTTTTTCCCCAATTTGGGTTTAACAGAGGTGAAGATTGTTTTAATACAGACTTAACTAAGATTATTGGGTTAACTATGCAGATCAGGGTAATTAGGCAAGTTATTGTATAATGATGGTTTGTTTTGTAGGCTAACGAAAAAAAATTGGCTCAAAGAGGCTAATAACTTAATAACTTTTTCCCAAATTGGTTTTTAAAAAATTAAAACTGCTTTTATTCTAGCCGAAATAAAATAAATATGACTTTCCTCAGAAGAAAAAAAACGTTTATCAGGCATAGTGTGAAAATTTCCTTGCTCTGTTAAACTTCATTTAGGAAATATTTAAAAAAGAAAAAATAATTCAAAAAGGGGCTAATAGTTCTGTACTGTACTGTAATTCAACTTTACTGTATATATATATTGCCCCCCTTTGATTTTTTTTCTTTTTTAATTATTTCAGAGCAAGGTAATTTTACAGTATGCCTGAAAATATTTTTATAATATTCTTATTTGTTTTATTTTGGCTTGAATAAAAGCAGTTTTTAATTTTTAAAAATTATTTTAGGGACAAAAATATTAGCCTCTTCAAGCAATTTTTTTCTTTTGATTGTCCACAGAACAAACCATCATTATACAATAACTTGCCTAATTACCCTAACCCACCTAGTTAATCTAATTAACCTAGGTAACCTTTTAAATGTCAGTGTCTTGTATATATAGACACACATACTGTACACTCCCTGACAAAGATCTTGTTATCAATCCCAGTTGTAAGAGCAGCAAATAATAACTTTAGTTCTAGTTGATCATTTGGAAAAGTTTCTGATGGTAGATTTTTCTGATTATTCGTCTGGTGAGCTGCATTCCTATCATCACAAATACTGTGGAAGACTTTTTGGAACCCACATGGACACAATTTTCTAACAGAAATCAGTAAAAGAAATCATGGAAAAATCATGGTTTGGGGTCACATTCAGTATGGGGTCGTGTGGGAGATCTGCAGAGTAGGTGACAACATCAACAGCATGAGGTATCAGGACATTTGGCTGCCCATTACATTACAAACCACTGCAGGGCAGTCTTTAGCAGGAGAGTGCTCCTTCTCATACTTCAGCCTCTACATCAAACTTCCTGCAAGCAAAGAAAGTCCAGGTGCTCCAGGATTGCCAGCCCAGTTAACAGAAATGAACATTGTTAAGTAAAATTGTAGCATTGTTGGGTAAAATAAAGGAGGAGGCATGGAAGATGAATCCAAAGAATTTTGATGAATTCTGGGAGTTCTTCAGGAACATTTTCTTTGCCATTCCAGATGACTTTATTAATAAGGTATGTGAGTCATTACAGAGATGTATGGATGCAGTCATTATATTTATTCTGTTTCCACTGGACTATGAATTTATATTCTACACTGTACATTGAACTCTACACTGTACACTTTAAATAATTAAAAACCAAGGCACCCCTATATATATATATATATATATATATATATATATATATATATATATATATATATATATATATATATATATATATATATATATATATATATATTTTTTTTTTTTTTTTTTTTTTTTTTTTTTTTTTTTTTTTTTTTTTGTGTAAAAAAAGCGTAATCTAGAGGCCTTTGCCTTTCATATAAGTCACTATGCACACTAAATGATTAACTAGAAGTTATTATTTGTTATTCCTAAAACTTAAATAGGCAACAAGACTTTTGTCAGGTAGTGTTTATATCACCATTTTTATATCGCTTTATGTAGTTTTACTGTATGCACGAGGATAAAGTTAAACATACTTAAATGTCTAAAATAATATGGCCCTCCAGGGGCGCCTCCAAGGGGTGGCCAGGGGTGGCCACGGCCACCCCTCGGTAAACTCTGGCCACCCCTGTGGCCACCCCAATATAATTTTGCGGTTGACATTATTGATTTAAATGAACTTATAAATTCCCAATATTTAGATAAATAAATAAATACATAAATAAATAAATAAAATGCAGTCACTAAATTATTGTTGGTGTTACTGACCTAGCTCTCCCCCTCTGGTTCAATGCTGGTGAAAGCAAACTGACGCATGCGCGCGGAAAACCATTCCCGCGCGCCTCACGCACTCCTGTGTGAATCCCGGATGGTTGTTTGCATGCACGCCGACATAATAGGCACCGCTCATGCGCCGTGAAACCGGAGTAACAGCCTTTTGTGCAGAAGTGTCGGCACGCAGCGAGTTTTTAAGTCGTTTAAAGTTTATATAATATGATGATGATGATGATGATGATGATGTTAATTTCACTAAGCATGCCTTTAAAGCAGAAAGGAGGGATAATGAGTCAGGGAGGTAAGACTTTATAACATGATTTCTCAGCCATGATCTGGTCTAAGACCACAGATAATTCTATAATACATTTTTTGTATTCTTTAGAATTGTCATAATTAATTTTCATGCAAAAGGTTTCTTAAGTGATGTTGGCATATCACTCCAGTTGTTGTTTTCCAGTAATATTTAGGACTAATTTCTGTTATTTATTTAGAATAATAATTGTATAATAATATTAATTGTATTTATTTAGAATAAATATAAATAAATTTTTATATTTATTGAATAACAAATCTAACAATTCAAGAGAGGTGGGGGTGTAAAGGGTGGTTCGCCCAGGGTGTCATTTAAACTAGAACCGCCACTACCCTCCCCGATCGTCCTTGACAGCACACACACACCTTCAATAGACAGCAATGGCTATTTAATATTTACCTTAAGCTACAGTATATCAATAGAAGAAGCTGCATTAATAAAATGGTTCAAAAAGCAATATGGATAAATAATATTATTAGGTATAGTGAGTGTGTATAGTAATGCCTTTTGTTCAGTTTGTTCATTTGTTTGGGTAATTAATAAACTCATTATTCTTTCATTCATTTTCTTTTCGGCTTAGTCCCTTTATTAATCCAGGGTCACCACAGCAGAATGAACCGCCAACTTATCTAGCACATTTTTACACAGCGGATGCCCTTCCAGCTGCAACCCATCACTGGGAATAATAAACTCATTAATCTTCATTAATTTTAGACATGGCATATCTCGTATGATGTACAATAAAGGCACGTAAAAAAAGAAGTCATTTATACAGTATATGAAAAGTGTTTTTAAACTAACCATAGATTTTTATTTGGTTTGCACATGTACTTGCTGAATTATTTCAAAGAATAAATTGCAATATTTCAAGTAGAATTAATTAAATGAATAAAACTACATTATTTCATTTACCAGAAACAAAAATATAACATTACACTGAATTCATTATTTTTCTTTGTGTGCCACCCCAAGATTTGGTGCGGCCTCTTCTGGCCACCCCTAAGAAAATTTTCTGGGGGCGCCACTGTGGCCCTCTAAGGTAAAAGCTTTGCTATACAGTATACATTATATCACTTTAATGAGTGTAGTGTATTGCAAGTATGAGGATAAATTTGGAAAAATCTAGAACAGGGTTGTCTCTGAATTATTGAAATACTGATTTCTCAGGAGGTGATTACAAAATGACTAAAGTCTAAATAAGTTATACAGGTTGTAAAGAGACATGAAGAAACGGAGCACTTTCCTGAATTAGCTGGCTGTTTTGTCGCAGGTCAAACTATGTGACTTTGGCTTTGCTCGGATCATCGGGGAGAAGTCTTTCCGGCGTTCAGTTGTGGGAACACCAGCATATTTAGCCCCAGAGGTTCTGCGCAGTAAAGGCTACAACCGTTCTCTTGACATGTGGTCAGTGGGAGTCATTATCTATGTCAGTTTGAGTGGGACGTTCCCCTTCAATGAGGACGAGGACATTAATGACCAAATCCAGAATGCAGCATTCATGTACCCACCGACTCCCTGGAAGGACATCTCTGCTGAAGGTCAGTGTTCAGTTCTACACCATCTCTCTCTGATTCTGACATAACCTTTAGGATGTTTTCTGATCTGTACACTATTTTTGCACTCCATTTTGGACATCAGTCCTATCTGATCAAAAACCTCTCATTAAAGTCACAATAAATAACATTATAGATAAGATTTACTGTATTAAGATTAAGATATCCAAAAAACACTAGTAAAACAGCGTACTTACATTATCTCATGCAGGTACATTTATCCCATTTATTTTTGAATGAAAAATAATGTGATGTTTATGAAATAGGGGTGTAACCATACACTCAAGTCACGATATAATGCATATCTTGTGTCTGAAGTTGATACAATATTATCTCAAGTATTTTTATTATTATGACTATTATTGCTTGTAATACTAAAATTTGTATAAGCTTGGGTTTTGGACTTGAACAGACTTGTGATGTCCAGGGGAATTATACGTGGGGGGTAAGACAAAGTGCATGTGAGTGTCCCTTGAAGATTCTGAAATATTATGCTGCTGAGCTGCATGCAATAACATACATAATCCTAGCTACACACCCACATGTCTGCTTTAGCGCCTTCTAATAGACTCAACACAGCCTTCACACTAACTTGGATCATTATATTTGCTGTTTAGAAACAATGCTAAATGCTAGCTGCAAAGGAGAACAGTTTTGGCAAAGATAAGCTAGAAAGCATATACAGTGCATCCGGAAAGTATTCATAGCGCTTCACTTTTTCTACATTTTTTATGTTACAGCCTTATTCCAAAATGGATTCAATTAATTTATTTTCTCAAAATTCTACACACAAAATCCATAATGACAATGTGATAAAAGATGTTTTGCAATTGTTGCAAATGTATTAAAACAAATTTATTAAAAATCACATGTATATAAGTATTTACAGCCTTTGCTGTGAAGCTCGAAATTGAGCTCAGATACATTCTGTTTCCGCTGATCATTCTTGAGATGTTTCAGCAGCTTAATTGGAGTTCACCTGTGGTAAATTCAGTTGATTGGACATGGTTTGAAAAGGCATACACCTGTCTATATAAGGTCCCAGTGTTGACAGTGCATGCCAAAGCACAAACCATGCATGAAGACAAAGGAACTGTCTGTAGACCTCAGAAATTGAATTGTCTCAAAGCATAAACCTGGAAAAGGTTACACATTTTTTTTTTTTTTTTTTGCTGCTCTGAAAGTTCTAATAAGCACAGTGGCCTCCATCACATCTAAGTGGAAGATGTTTGGAAACACCAGGACTCTTCGTAGAGCTGGCCGGCCATCTAAGCTGAGTGATCGGGGGAGAAAAGCCTTAATCAGGGAGGTGATCAATAACCTGATGGTCACTCTGTCTAAGCTCAAGCATTCTTCTGTGGAGGGAGTAGACCCTCACAGAAGGACAACCATCTGTGCAGCAATCCACCAATCAGGCCTGTATAGTTGAGTGGCCAGACGGAAACTACTCCCCACCTGAAATTTGCCAAAAGGCATCTAAAGGACTCTCAGACCATAAGAAACAAAAATCTCTGGTATGAGAGACTAAAACTTTTGGACTCTTTGGAGTGAATACTAGGCGTTACAATTGAAAATAAACCAGACACCACTCATCACTAGGCTATTACCATCGCTACAGTGAAGCATGGTGGTCGCAGCATCATGCTGTGGGGATGTTTTTCAGCAGCAGGAACTGTAAGACTAGTCAGGATAGAGGAAAAGATGAATAGAGCAATGTGGACATCCTGAATGAAAACCTCCTTTAGAGTGCTCTTGACCTCAGATTGGGGTGACGGTTCATCTTCCAGCAGGACAATGACCCAAAGCACACTACCAAAATATCATTGGAGTGGCTTCACAACAACTGAACTGAATGTTCTTGAGTGGCCCAGCCAGAGCCCAGGACTAAATCCTATTGAACATGAGCTTGATAGGTACTGCAAAGATGAATAGGCAAAAATTCCCAAAGACAGGTGTTCCAAGCTTGTGGCATCATATTCAAAAAGACTTGAGACTGTAATTGCTGCCAAAGGTGCATCAACAAAGTATTGAGCAAATGTTATGAATACTTATATACATGTGATTTTTCAGGTTTTTTATTTTTAATAAATATGCAACAATTTCATAATATCTTTTTTCACATTGTCTTTATGGTGTATTTTGTGTAGAATTTTGTCGAAATAAATTAATTTAGTCCATTTTGGAATAAAGCTGTAACAAAAACTGAATTGCTATGAATACTTTCCATTTGCACTGTAAATGATAAAATAATTATATTTGTATAGTATAAAATACTAAGGATTGTATCCAGTATACAATTTAGACAATTATTCTGTGCTGTCTTAAAATGAATGGAAATCGTTGAAAAAATATTAATTAAAATCATTCAAATAGTCTTTTTAATTACATTATTGTTTCTTGGTTCATCAATTTAAAACTCTTGCCTAATTTTACATTATTGATTTGCCACCTACTGCATGGTGGCTCAGGCTGTGCATTATTTTAAAGCAGAAGACAGATGAAGAATATTGATTAAGAATGGGGAATAAAAAGCCACAAAATTTTAAATTATGGTACACTCCAGCAATTCAGACAGGCATAAGAATAGTGTAGAATGCAGGTGTAGTTCTAGTTAAAAGAAAACTGCACCAGTTCAGTTTAGTATAAATATCACAGTTTAGTACAGTTTAGTTCAGATCAGTGTAATTCAAACGACACTCCTAAAGGCAGATCCACTGAAGAGCACACTGCCTAGGCAAACTGTTCTGATGTAGCCTTTATTCACAAGCACACACTGGACCTTGCAGCCAACCATCATCAATATAAATGTAGTCAAAACACACACACACACACACACACACACACACACACACACACACACATACACATGAACTGTTGATGTAACATTGCATTTTCGCTGTCATGCATGACAAAAATTTGTATAATTAGCATTGCCATTATTTAAAATTCCGTAAATGGTTAGCTTACAATTTGTCTTCTATGGACATCTAGTAATAAAAGCTGCTGTATTATTATTATTATTTTTTTTTTTTTTGCCAAATCTCAAAACTCTTTTAGTGTGACTGACTCAAGTATAGGTCAATAAATCACAGCTCTAATAAGTTATAACCCCAAAACAGGAAAAAGTTGTGACAGTATGGAAAAAGCAAATTAAAAGAAAGCAGTGATTTCCAAATATACTTTGTATAGTTGTATTTCATTACAGACAGTATGAACACAAAATATTTCATGTTTTGTCTGGTCAACCTCATTTCATTTGTAAATATACATCCTTTCCTGTCATTCAGACCTGCAACACATTCCAAAAAAAGTTAGGACAGGAGCAATTTAGGGCTAGTAATCAGCTAAATTGGTTAAATAATGATGTGATTTGACATAGGTGAGTAAAGGAGCAAAGATGGACAGATTATTGCCAGTTTGCCAACAAATATGTGGGTTCAGGACTACTTTGGCAAACCTTTATCAAGTACCACAATACATAGTTACATAGTTAAAACTATACTGTAGGAAGCCCTATGTTAACAGTGTCCAGAAGGGCCGTCGTCTTCTCCGGGCTTGGAGGCATCTGGGATGGACCATCACACAGTCTAAACGTGAACTGTGTTCAGATGAATCAACATTTCAGGTCTTTTTTTGGAAGAAAAATGAACGCTGTGTGACCTGGACCAAAGAAGAAAAGGATGATCCAGACTTTTACCAGCAACAAGTCAAGTCTGTTTCCATGGATGCCCCATGTATATTTCAACAAGACAATACAAAACCACATTCTGCACAAATTACAAAGTCTTAACTGCGGAGGAAGAGGATACAGGTACTTGTCTGCCCTACCTGCAGTCCCAACCTGTTTCCCATAGATAATGTATGGTGCATTTTGAAGTGCAAAATGTGACAACAAAGACTACGTACTGCTGCCCTTGTTAAGACTTGTTTGCAGGATGAATGGGGCAAGTTGCATCTAAAACATCTCACCACTTGTTGTCTTCAGTCCCTAAACATCTTTTAAATGTTGTGAAAAGGAATGTCAATATCACAAAACTTTTTTTTTTAAATATGTTGCAAGAAATACAATATAAATACGTGTTTATTTTGAAAAAAAAAACAACAACAACAACAATAACAATCATGAGGATCACATTAAATAATATTTGTTGTATTGTCTGCAATGAAATACAAGTCAAAGTAAATTTAAATTATTATTTTAAATATAAATTTAAAAATAACTTTCTTATTTTATATGCATTTTCTATACTGTCACAACTTTTTCTGATTTGTTTTGATTTGGGATTGTAAACAAAAAGAGTAAAATAAATAGGAATGCACTAAATATTTTTACAATTACAAATTTAGATTACATAAAGGAAACACTGACTGAATTCTGTTTAAGAACCTGCATAGGTAATTGTTTTTTAATCCTACTGAGTTTTTTAACCATAATGCATGTCTTTAATTTGCCTTAATTTGAAACATTTTCAATACGGGTTTACAAGGACAAAAGTTTGTATAATGACAAAGGTATGAACTAGGTAATACAACTTTGAAGTTGTTTATGAGAACATAGGTTTAGGGGTTGATCCATTAACTATTGTAATATCTTGTAATAAATGTTTTTTGGTAGATATATTATATGATGGACTTGATTTGTTTACCAAATAAGTACCAAATAATCTAATTGGATTTGCACTGTAAAAATTAAATAAAAGTTATTAAAGGTATGTTTTTTTTTCATATATTAGGTTTAATAGTTCATCATTTAACATAAATGTAAAATAAAATTTAATTTTACAAAATTCTGTGCATAAATAGCTAAAAATGTCCACAGATTTTGTCTGGCCCTAGTTGTTGGCCATACACTAATGCATAGTGATTTCCACACCTGACAATAATAAACCCCATCCAGTTTTATGATGATTCCCTATGATTACTCAGCAGTGAAAAGAGATGTTGACATGTTGACATGTATACATGTATACAGTTTACTCGATATCCAAAATCAATGTTATAATGAAAAATAAATGGAAATGAAAACCAAAAACCCTTTGAATGAAAATTACAAGCAAAAGCTGCACATTGAGGCATCAAATTAGTATTTAGTATCCCCATTTTTGCTTTGTTTACTATAGAAACAACACCAGAGGGTGAGCACCAAATTACATCATTGAAAACAGTGGCAAACTCCAAAATAAATGGTTTATTTTTTTAAATAAGACGAATATTTAATCATTTTTTCCTACATATTTCACTAAGAGGCATGGTTCACATTATGTTAAGGCCTACAAGTCTTGATACCAGGGTTCCCTTTAAAAACTAATGGTTAATTAATTAGTTATCAACAAGTACAATACAACGTATTGGCTCTATATTGTTGGAATGTATTTTTGATATTTTTAACCTTAAGTTACTCCATTCATACCTTGTTTTTAAAAATCTTTATAGAGTTTTATCTCTTTAAAAAACTGTAAGAGATCTGAAAAACTGAGCATTTTTCTTAAAATACCTTCCTGGTTAAAGCAACCCTGTTTTTAGATTTATAGGTGCAGGTACTGAGAATAAAAGCTGGGATCATATGTTTTACAAAGACAAAAGGAATCATGTATGACTAAGAATAAGGTGTGTGTATTATTTAGCTGTAGAAGATAGAGGGAGATGTCTGGGTGTGTGTCAGACTGTAAGCAGACAGACTGTCCTCCCCCATGTGTGTTCAGAATAGTTCTTTTCCACCCGAGACCTGAAACATTACAGCAGCCTCTCCCAATTTTAGCCTGCTACTCCTCTACTGCACTATAAATGTCTTTTCTTTGTCTCTACACTTTACACCAGTCTGGTTTTATAGCTCGGTTTATTTTTGTTAGAGCAATTATCCTCAAATGCATTATTACATTTGCTTTATTTCACCAGTGTGAGAAGTAACCCACTTACCCTGATATTTACCATACTTGTTTTACACTAGTATTACTAAATAGGCATTACAATGTGGACATTTGTAATGAAAAGAATGAAATAATTGAAAAAAAAAATTGCAACCTTAAAATATTGTAGTACATTTAGGAATATGACAAAATCTGAACTATGGAATGAGAGTGCATTTTGCAGTGTGTATTATTTATTGTCTATGGTTCATATATATGTAGAAACAATTATACCATAAATCAAATTACAGCCTGTTTATTTGCACATAAATATTAAGCTTGCTTCTTTATATAAACTGCAAATTTGTGGAATTAAAAAAATAGTTATTATTTTGCATGAACCCTTGGAAACCATTTCAAGTTCTTCCCATTTAGCAGGAGGTTTTCCCAAAACTTGTACTTGGGACTAAATTGAATTATTTATTGAGGGTATGTGTGTAAAAGATTGCAAACTTTGACTACACAAATCATAACTTTAAGAAAAAAGTCTGTGGACTACTACTAATGTACTTCCATTTCTTCCATATCGGTAGCACTTTATAATAACTGCACACTATAAATCATTTATTAAGCATTAGTTATTATCTACATTTTCATTACATATTATCTACAAGCAGCTTTATATATATATATATGTGTGTGTGTGTGTGTGTGTGTGTGTGTGTGTGTGTGTGTGTGTGTGTGTGTGTGTGTGTGTGTGTGTGTGTGTGTGTGTGTGTGTGTGTGTGTGGGTGGGTGTGATTAGTAGTATGATGATTAGTAGTATGCACATGTATAATGTGCCTAATGATTGTATTTTCATACTTTTCATATTAAATTAAGTATTACATTGTTTACAAACCAGTTATTTAAGATAGTTGGTGTTTTTTTTAACATAAATCAGAATGAGTAAGTAAATGATTAATAAACTTTTTAAATTAACATCTTTTTTCAGGCATATAGTAATAGTTATTTTATAACTACTGAACGCTTTATTAACTCAACTTCATGCAGTTTTGTGACTTAATTTGAAGTGAGGACTATGCTTTGTAAATCCGTTATAAATGGCAATTAAAGGCTCAGTCAGAAAAAGGAGATAAAAAACAAAGTGATTCACAATAAAAAACACAAATGAAACTGCTAATAAAAAAAAATCATTGCAATCTTCAATGCAGAATATAACACTTCTTATTTTAGATTAAGATTGCAAGTTTTTTTTTTCATATGTGTATCTTGAAATGTATATTTTTGTTGTGAATCACCATGTAGTTTTCTCTTTATACTGTTTAAAATATAACGCTTATATGTAGACTTTAATCATCATTCATAGAGGATTTTACAAATCATGAATAGTCAGGACATTTAAGTCACAAAACTGCATAAATTTGAGTTAATAATTCATGCATTAACATATAAAGTAAATATTACTATATGTTTGAAAAATAAGATGTATAAATGTTCATTTGTATATTTTATTAACCATTTATTTACTAGTTCTGAATTATCTTTAAACCACCAATTGTGATAATTTTCTCTTTTTTCAGTTTTAGAACGTGAGTTTTAGTTCACGTTCTAGATAAAGTTTAAAATAAATATTAATGAAACATGAAATGCTTTTCAAAATAATTACAGGCCCAACATGAATTATTGCTAGAAATAAAATGCAGACTGTAAACAGTGATCATTTAAACATGCAACTTTCTCTCTTTGCTTTCTCAACTTTCTCTCTGTGCTTCACTTTTCCATCTACATCTCCATGGTGAAGTGTTAGATTGTGCTCCAAATAATGAAAAATATTACTGTAAGCAGTGTTTTTTGACACCACAAAATAAACAACAGAGCATTATATAAAACTAAAGATTTAATAGTCACATTTTCCAACCCTAAAGAAAAATACTCATTAATACTTTTCTCTATTCTTGTCAGTATTCCTGAATAAACCAATGTCTCCTAAATTCCACAGCTACAGATCTGATCAACAATCTTTTGCAAGTCAAGATGAGGAAACGCTACAGTGTGGATAAAACCCTCAGTCATCCATGGCTACAGGTGAGAATCATGGGCATAGCTTGCAAGCCTTGGCCCCCAGAGCCAGCAACCCATCATATACTGCATATTCCTTCCCCAAAGCAAAATTTTGTAATGTTGTGTTTTGTATTATTTGGTACATATGCAGTAACACAATGCTCTTTTTTTAGCATATCATAACATTGCTTTAAGCATGTTAAACAATGTGCAATTCTGAGTTGAAAGCATCTATCACTAAGCTACATTGTAAACCTGACAGAACAAAACTATTTTGATTGGTTTTCTTTCACTTTCGAATGTCTAAATATCTGTAATTTTATGAGATTAAAATGTGACATCCCATGACAACTTGATTGTAAAATAAAGAATACAGGCTGTGCTTTATGCCATCAACTTGAACTTCTAAAGTGCACCCCAAAATAAGGACCTACTTGATGCAGTTATTTATTGGTTAATTTTGTTTATTTTTAATACAACTCCAAATCAGAAAAAATTGGAGCAGTATGGAAACACCATGAAATATGCATGGGCATCCCTAGAAAATAAGGCAGTAAATTGTGCTCCAAAAGCTAAAAAATACTTTTTAGCATTCAAATCAAGTTTATTTGTATAGCTCTTTTTACAAAATTGTTTCAAAGCAGCTCTACAAAAGGTGCACATTATTGCATTACAATCAAATTAAGTTAATGTTACAATCAAAGTTATTGTATACAGATAGTTACCTATAATTTTATGGCAAATAGGTGATGTCTATGTGTACATGTTTAATGGACTGTACTTGTGTATAAAGCGTATGTGTTGCCAGGCAGGCGATCCATCTTTTCTCCTAAATGACTAGACATTTCTTGATTGCTGGTTTTATACCAAATTATAATTACAGACTTATTGACATCACTTGATTCAGATCACAATATTTAATATATACCAATTTACTTTTAATATATTGCCCAATTTTTATGTAACAATTTACTTGATTACCAGCCAGTAATTGCTCCTGTCCCAACTTTTTTTTTGAATGTGTCAGGTTTGAATGACAGGAAATATATAAATATTTTGTAAATATTTACCAATGAAATGAAGTTGACCAGACAAAACATTAAATGTTTTGTGTTCGTGTTGTCTGAAACAAAATACAAGTCACAGTAAATTTAGAAATTTCTTTTTTTTTTTTTTTTTTTTTTTACATTTCCCATCCTATGTTTTGTTGTTTATTCTATTCTTGTTTGTGCATGTGAAATAAAACCCTCAAAAACCTATGTTTAAAATAAAGTACAAGTAATGATGTTAATTAATATGTTAGCCTATTTTGTAATGTTTTTTTTTTTTTTTTTGTGTGTTCATTTATGGTTAAGCACAGAGGTCCTGTATTAATATTTTAATTTCACCTTTTTTTCAGATGAAAAAGGTCTAAATATATCTATACGTTATCACCTGCTTATCCTATAAGCTAATAAAAAAAAAAAAAGAAATTGTAAATGAAAGTAATAAATAAAGTTAAAGATATCATGGTGTAGTAGGTTATGGTATATTTTTACAACCCTGTCCTGAGATTGCAAAACAGATATATTCATTAACCCTACAGGGCAAATGTCAATTATTAGAACTGTAAAATAAGTGTTTTATCATAGCCCTAAACCTCACCTTGTCCATGTGTGTGTCAGGACTACCAAACATGGCTGGATCTGCGGGAGTTTGAAACTCGGCGAGGCGAACGCTACATCACTCATGAGAGCGATGATGCACGCTGGGAGAAGTATGCTTATGAGCACAGTCTGATGTATCCAAAGCACTTCATTATGGCACCAAACCTGGATGATATGGATGAGGACCCCTAGTGGACGTGAGCTGAACTCAGATGACCACAGAGAGCTGTTGACGGTGTGATGCCGTCGAGACTCAAATACGATGAAGCAGACTGTGAGGACAGAAAGCTGATACATGGCCAGCGAGCCTGACACTTCCTGGATGTCAGTAATGCTAATGAAGATGAGTGCAGAGTGTGGAGATTTCCATTGGGAGCGTATTCACAAGTATTCATGATTGTTCTTTTGCAAACGGTGCTGTTATGTTTCATTTCTTATCAAAGTGTACGTTCGGTATGTCAGAACGTTGGCTTGCGTTACTACAAGGATGTGACTGACGTAAAACGTAAAGGCGAAAGTGATGCAGTTGTTTATGTTTTTGCTCATAGACTTTCATTTTGAAAGCATCAAACTGGAACATGCATTTTTTTATTGCCATTGTTCTTTTGTTTTCTAAATCGATTTGCTACAACACAGGTTTTACAGCAGATTGAAGGATTCCTGAAGGCTTGGGGTTTTTTTGCACTAAACTATGTGACTGCTGCATCTGGTACAATGAAATGAATTCTGTGAGGTGACAGCCAAAAAAATTTGGTCTAGTGTTAAATAAAACAATTACTACAGTGTCTGAACTCTTAATAAAGCCAGGATGAGTTTGTCAGATGTAATGGGAGATGTTATCTTCAGTGGACCAAAGACATTGGCGTCTGCCGTGACTCTTGTTTTTCTACATCACTGTAGCCATTGTCCTTTCCAGCAGTCTTTACAGAGCCATCTTTATTTATTCTTCATACTGCAGTCTTAAAATATAATAGCAACTGAGCAGTGCAGATGTGTTAGTCAAAAGCCTACTGTGAGAAAGCTGTATGACTTAAGGCACATGTGCTCTGGGACATTTTTCATTCACGTTTAATGCCTCGTGACTAAGCAAAGGGCACCAATGTGAACGTGAATACCAATGTGCAAAACACCAGTCATGAAAGCGTTTTTAAAACAGATTGAGCTTATTATTTTGGTTTCATGTGTCATGTTAAAAATAGTTCAGAGATCAGTGAGATCAGTGATTTTGTCAAGTCAAGACATGATGTTACAGTATATTCCTTCTTGATGGCCAGGGTATTTTTGTTTTTCATTAAGCTTCATCTAATGTCAGGGAGTGATTTTGCATATTCACTTTCCTCATTGGCAGTTATAGTTACTTGGGTATGAATGCTGAAAAATGTCCCAAAAATGCTGATGATGAGCGCGAGGAAAATCATCCTGGTGTGCACAAGCCTTTAGAAAGCTCTTTTTGAATACAAACATGTATTTAAGAAACGGCTATTCATTTTAGTTTTAAACAGATGATCAGTGTTATGTTATATTCTATTTTTATTATTTTCATTCTCTCTGTTTTTCTTACATTTTGGTATGTGCAGTACTGCACAGTGAAGTTTGTTCAGTGAATTTTGAAACCTTTAACTCTGAACTTTGAATCCCAGAACTGGAAAATCTCAAAAAGAATTTTTTTTTTTTTTTATGATGGACTTTTTGTTGTAAAATCAACCTTCAATATTAAAATGAATCTTGATAAATTAGGTTTTTGATTGTAGGTACGTTGCACATTTATCCCTCTACACACAAATGCTCCCTCAACATTTGTTGGACACACAAATATGGGGCCAGATCAGTCTCAAAAGTAATACATTCATAATTCACATTTACTAATTTTATTTGTGAATTCAAAACACAATTCATAAATGTACCATTCCAGTTTATAAATTCAAAACACAATTAAAAATGTGCAAATACAATTTTTAAATTCAAAACACAATTCATCAATGTATAAATTCAATTTGTAAATTCAAAACACAATTGATAAATGCAAAAATCCATTTTTTTAATTCAAAACACAATTCATAAATGCGAAAATTCAATTCGTAAATTCAAAACACAATTCATAAATGTGCAAATACAATTCGTAAATTCAAAACAATTCCTAAATGCACAAATCCAATTTTTAAATTCAAAGCACAATTCATAAATGTGCAAATCGAAATCATGAATTCAAAACCCTATTTATTAATGTGCAAATCTAAATTGCTAATTCAAAACACAATTCATAAATGTGTAAATCCAATTCGTGAATTCAAAACAAAATGAATCAATACACAAATCCAATTTCTAAATTCAAAACACAATTCATAAATGCACAAATCCTATTCATAAATGCAAAACACAATTTATAAATATGCAAATCCAATTCATGAATTCAAAACACAATTCATAAATGCACAAATCAAATTCATAAATTCAAAACACAAATCATAAATGCGCAAATCCAATTCATAAATTCAAAACACAATTCATAAATGCACAATTCCAATTCATAAATTCAAAACACAATTCATAAATATGGAAATCCAATTTGTAAATTCAAAACAATTCCTAAATGCACAAATCCAATTTTTAAATTCAAAGCACAATTCATAAATGTGCAAATCGAAATCATGAATTCAAAACACTATTTATTAATGTGCAAATCTAAATTGCTAATTCAAAACACAATTCATAAATGTGTAAATCCAATTCGTGAATTCAAAACAAAATGAATCAATACACAAATCCAATTTCTAAATTCAAAACACAATTCATAAATGCACAAATCCTATTCATAAATGCAAAACACAATTTATAAATATGCAAATCCAATTCATGAATTCAAAACACAATTCATAAATGCACAAATCAAATTCATAAATTCAAAACACAAATCATAAATGCGCAAATCCAATTCATAAATTCAAAACACAATTCATAAATTCAAAACACAATTCATAAATATGGAAATCCAATTTGTAAATTCAAAACAATTCCTAAATGCACAAATCCAATTTTTAAATTCAAAGCACAATTCATAAATGTGCAAATCGAAATCATGAATTCAAAACACTATTTATTAATGTGCAAATCTAAATTGCTAATTCAAAACACAATTCATAAATGTGTAAATCCAATTCGTGAATTCAAAACAAAATTAATCAATACACAAATCCAGTTTCTAAATTCAAAACACAATTCATAAATGCACAAATCCTATTCATAAATGCAAAACACAATTTATAAATATGCAAATCCAATTCATGAATTCAAAACACAATTAATAAATGCGCAAATCAAATTCATAAATTCAAAACACAAATCATAAATGCGCAAATCCAATTCATAAATTCAAAACACAATTCATAAATGCACAATTCCAATTCATAAATTCAAAACACAATTCATAAATATGGAAATCCAATTTGTAAATTCAAAACAATTCATAAATACGCAAATACAAAGCAGAAATTCAAAACACTATTTAGAAATGTACACAGCCAATTCACTTGGGGAATTAAATTTACAACATAGATTTGGTAACTGTGAATTGTGGTGTGCATGTATGAGCTTTATTTTGGCAAACTTATTATTTTCGAGATTTGTCTGACTCCATACACAAGCACTCTAGGTAAAATGAACAAATATCAGGGTAAAATAATTTTTTTAACAGTTACATTTTTTCCTACTGTCCATGAAAGGAAAGCCATTCTGTACAGATACTGTACATTTGGGGCAAACAAATTGTCACCTTGGAATTATAAGGTTCTATCTGCGTTCTGAATGATTTTGTAATATTGAGCTTCAAAGTTTTTGCAAATTATAGCACAGTTTATGTACCATTTGTTTTTTGTTTTTCTAAAAAAAACAGTCCATAATGTAAATAAGTTGTCAATTAATAAGAATATGTCAATAACTCAATTTTGGCAAAAATGTCAGATAGAAACTTATAATTCTAAAGTGATGAAATCTCTAAATCATTACATAACTATGTTGCCGCTGGATTGGCAAGTGTCAGTGTTCTGTATATTTCAGTATGTCCTGATTCAATAAACTATACATTCCATGCATTTGAGGTAATTTTTCAGCTTTAAGGTTTTGGATTACCATGAAGAGACAGATTCAAATTGTCCAAATGATTCTTTTTCAGGAACATCTCTTTAGATTCATGTAGCATATGTAACGATATGTAATATTTGTGAATGTAAAAAAGTTTCAAAGATCAGAGTGCATGATAAATTGTAGTTATTAAAAATAAAACAAAAAGTGGTTAGGGGTAGCTTAAATAATGTGTTGGTGCTTTTTGGGTAAGGGATTCGTCAGAGTAAATAGCAAAGGTCAGTCCAAGGCACTCAAAACATTTGGAAAAAATATAAACAAATATGCCTACATCCACAGTTTAAAGGAAAAGCCATGCCAGTAAAGGCTTTTTAAAAAATTGTCCACATTTTTCTAATGCCTTGGACTGACTTTTGATGTTTATTAAAGTGTAGTTGTTTGCAACACATGCTCGATGGAAATACGTGCTTCAGTCTACATTTAAATACCTAAAACGTACTTAATACATTTTTATACATTTAACCATTGTTTCTAGGTAAAATTAACAACTTTTGTTTCTTTTTCAACTTTTGTTTCTTTGTTCTCTTTCTTTTTGTTTCACAGTCAGAATATACAGGGACATATAAGTTTCATCATAAACAAATAAATAAAATAGCTCTATATGAATTATAATCAGATAGATTTGCCTTATCATTTTGTTTGTCTGTATCAGGAGGTACCCAAACTTTTTCTTATGAAGGGCAAAAAACTGGGTGACCACTGTGTTTTAAAAAGTATTAAAAGTTGATACATCATTGTAGAGAAATTTAAGGTCCTTAAAAAGTATTAAAAAGTCTTAAATTCTATTTTGCAAGGTATTCAATTTTATAGCATTTTTGATTATGCAATCAATGTATAGTTGTATGCTAAAGTTTGCCTGAATTAAATCTGCAAATATTAGAATGCTGTGTAATTTGTGAAATCAATGAAATCTTATGACATCATGCTGTTTTGTTTACTGCAGAACCCAAGGCAACACAATTCTTTCTGCAGTTTTATAGCAAAGAGCATAGAATCAGAGGTGACACTCAATTGAACTTTCCATTGCAACAGCAGCACCTAAGGCAGCAACAGCCTTGCGATTCCTCCATTTTGGAGTGAAAGCGATTGGCCGTCCATTGGATCTGCTGTCCCAATGGTAAGTAGCTGCTTTGTTTATTTATTTATTTATTTAAAAAGCGCATTAAAGCTGAAATACAACCTGAAAGACGCCAGTACAACATTTGTGATAATCAGCACTTTTAATATTTAATTTTACAGACATGTTTAATATATTTTAACCATATTTATTCAAAAATTAACAAATTACTTAAAATGACTTTAATAGTTAACACACTGGCATAATACAAATAAATAGTGGCATGTTTAAATAAAAATTACTAAAGATTTGTTGATAACAGATTTACAGTACTTTTTGTTGTAGTATTATAACACTATATAGTATTTTTTCATGTGCTGTCTGTTAAAGAAAGATTGATAAACATTTATGTAAAAAGCCACTTTGTCCAAAATGATTGAATTCTGACACAAATTCATCATTTTTAATTCTGTCATTAAAAATCATGGAGGCCATATAAACAAGATAAAGTAGTGGGGTATACTCATTTTTGTATTACTCTAATTTGAGTGAAGGTTAAAAGTAAAATAGTAAGTAAGTTATTTTGTTAACCTTGCTTTTATGTTATAAGTAAAAAAGATATTTCAGATCGCGTCCCATGAAACTAGCGGCTTCTAGTGGCTGTTTCCCAAACAGCAACAGATTGTCGCCTCTTGGTGATTCCATGCTCTTTGAATATCGACATCAATCTACGGAAGCCCTAAACCGCAAGGAATTAGCAAGATTTAATAGATTTTTATTCAGTATATAAATAATGTTTTAGTTTTGAAATTAATTTCTAACATTAATATTTAGTAAATATACTGCAAGTTAAAATCTCGCCAGTGTTTCTGGTTGAAAATGACTATAAGGTCTTAAAATGTATGGAAAAAAATCTTAAAAGGTATTGAATTTTGCTCTCTGAAAAAATAAAACTTGATGGAATGTGGTGAGGTTACACTAGTCGAGCTGCTTCTGTTTTGGCCTTGATTTGCTCGCCGATTCTTCTACGTTTTCCTCTATCTGTCGACCAATGGTGGACTAAGTACTGAAAAATCATACTAAAGTAAAAGTTGCATTACTTTGCTAAAAATACAGTCCACATAGAGTAAACGTGTCTATTGTAAATATTACTCAAAGTATGAGTAAAAAGAACTTTTAAAAGGACTAAAGAATGGGGGGTAGTGAGTGTTATGCTGTGAAAAGCTGATGCATTTACATTAAATTTGTGCATGTGTTTAAACGTAACATTCTGTAGTGCATCTAGTTATTGCCCGGCAGTGACATTGAGTTCTGAAGTCAATTTTCATTTCTAAACAAAACGCAATGTCCCCTGGACATTAGGGTACAACTTGAATCTGACGTCATGTTGACGTCTTGGGTGCTGGTTAAGGACATTTTGATCATCATTCAGTACATATCAATCATCTTCTCATCAGCGATATGCATTTAAACAGTCTCTGGGTCAATACATGTAAAGATTTTGGACATCTTTTTGAACACATTTAATGCTACTAAACA